TATAGATAACATGCATCAGGATAAAACAGTTCATGGTGAGTCTGGAAGATGAATCATGGTCAGGGCTCATAGTTAGAGCGGTGCAGCTTCATGTAATTCCTGTTTTAATTTTCACAACTATGGTAGTTGTAAGCAAACAGACGTTGAAATAATTGGCTGTGGTAGGCTCAATGGGATTAACCTGTCTAAATAAAGGTTGAATGAAACAAAAAAGTAGGTGAATCGTTCAAAACGAATCAGCTCACGGAGAACTGACGAAATTCTCAGAACGGTTTTGTGTTTCCAGTCGGACCTTTTAATAGACGGAACCGGAAGCTCCGTCAATCGTAACTTCCACACGTGAACGAAGCAGGCAGCTTCGGTGTGCACCGGGTGCAGTGGTCTTTTGAGACTTTGTGAAGTTTTCGACAACACCGGGTCTGCAGGTGCAGCCTGAGGTCACGTGGTTCACCGGAAACATGGCGGAGGTCGTTCAGCAGCGGATCGAGGACCGGATCCCTGAGCTGGAGCAGCTGGAGAGAGTGGGGCTGTTCACCACGAAGGAAGTCAAGTATGTTGACTCAGTCTGTCTCGAAGGAGACTTCTTCATTAGCTGTGATATCGTAGAGGGTGTGAGTGAACATATCTGGTATGTTAGACTGAGGACACGAGGACAGCAGGACATGTAGGAGGACAGCAGGACATGTAGGAGGACAGCAAGACATGTAGGAGGACAGCAGGACATGTTAGTCTGGTACAGGACATGTATGAGGACAGCAGGACATGTATGAGGACAGCAGGACATGTATGAGGACAGCAGGACATGTATGAGGACAGCAGGACATGTATGAGGACAGCAGGACATGTTAGTCTGGTACAGGACATGTATGAGGACAGCAGGACATGTAGGAGGACAGCAGGACATGTATGAAGACAGCAGGACATGTTTGTCTGGAACAGGACATGTATGAGGACAGCAGGACATGTATGAGGACAGCAGGACATGTATGAGGACAGCAGGACATGTATGAAGACAGCAGGACATGTTAGTCTGGTACAGGACATGTATGAGGACAGCAGGACATGTACGAGGACAGCAGGACATGTACGAGGACAACAGGACATGTAGGAGGACAGCAGGACATGTAGGAGGACAGCAGGACATGTAGGAGGACAGCAGGACATGTTTGTCTGGAACAGGACATGTATGAGGACAGCAGGACATGTATGAGGACAGCAGGACATGTATGAGGACAGCAGGACATGTTAGTCTGGTACAGGACATGTATGAGGACAGCAGGACATGTATGAGGACAGCAGGACATGTAGGAGGACAGCAGGACATGTAGGAGGACAGCAGGACATGTACGAGGACAGCAGGACATGTACGAGGACAGCAGGACATGTATGAGGACAGCAGGACATGTATGAGGACAGCAGGACATGTACGAGGACAGCAGGACATGTACGAAGACAGCAGGACATGTAGGAGGACAGCAGGACATGTACGAGGACAGCAGGACATGTACGAGGACAGCAGGACATGTATGAGGACAGCAGGACATGTTAGTCTGGTACAGGACATGTATGAGGACAGCAGGACATGTTTGTCTGGAACAGGACATGTATGAGGACAGCAGGACATGTTAGTCTGGTACAGGACATGTATGAGGACAGCAGGACATGTATGAGGACAGCAGGACATGTATGAGGACAGCAGGACATGTACGAGGACAGCAGGACATGTATGAGGACAGCAGGACACGTTAGTCTGGTACAGGACATGTATGAGGACAGTAGGACATGTGTGAGGACAGCAGGACAGTGGTGAGAGTCATTCAACCTTCTACAGGTAAATCCCATTGAGCCTCGGGGACTCATTTACAAGAGAGACCTGATTTAACAAAGAATGATGACAACAGTGGACAATTATTAAAACATACAGATTGAGAAGAACAAGTGAAATAAAATGATATAAATAATGAAACAAAAACAGCTAGATTATAAAACGATGTAGAAAACTAAAAACGGGAACATGTCTGTGTTGGTTCTTGACATGAACTTATCAGATGTTTGAAGCCACTTAGAGAGGTGAAGGTCGAGAGCTTCAGATCTTTTTACAAGATACTCCAGGAAACGTTGGCTAGTTGAACCTCGGATTCAGGAGGAGCAGTGCGGTTTTCGTCCTGGCCATGGAACTCTGGACCAGCTCTACACCCTCAGCAGGGTCCTGGAGGGTGCGTGGGAGTTTGCCCAACCGGTCTACATGTGCTTTGTGGACTTGGAGAAGGCGTTCGATCGCGTCCCTCGGGGAACACTGTGGGGGGTACTCTGGGAGTATGGGGTACCGGGCCCTTTGATACGGGCTGTTAGATCCCTGTATGACCGGTGTCAGAGCCTGGTCCGCATTGCCGGCAGTAAGTCGGGCTTGTTCCCGGTGAGAGTTGGACTCCGCCACGGTTGCCCTTTGTCACCGATTCTGTTCATAACTTTTATGGACTGAATTTCTAGGCACAGCCAAGGTGTTGAGGGGATCCGTTTTGGGGGCCTTAGGATTCCATCTCTGCTTTTTGCAGGTGATGTGGTCCTATTGGCTTCATCAGATCGTGATCTACAGGTTTCGCTGGAGCGGTTCACGGCCGAGTGCAACGCGGCCGGGATGAAGATCAGTTCCTCCAAATCCGAGGACATGGTCTTGAGCCGGAAAAGGGTAGAGTGCCCTCTCCGGGTCAGGGAGGAGGTCCTGCCCCAAGTGGAGGAGTTCAAGTATCTTGGGGTCTTGTTCATGAATGAGGGAAAAATGGAGCGTGAGATCGATAGGCGGATAGGTGCAGCGTCTGCAGCATCTGCAGTGAAGCGGGCGCTGTACAGGTCTGTCGTGGTGAAGAGAGAGCTGAGTCAAAAGGTGAAGCTCTCAATTTACCAATCGATCTAAGTTCCTACCCTCATCTATGGTCTCGAGCTTTGGGTTGTGACCGAAAGAACGAGATCTCCGATACAAGCGACAGAAATGAGTTTTCTCCGCAGGGTGTCTGGGCTCTCCCTTAGAGACAGGGTGAGAAGCTCGATCATCCGGGAGGGACTCAGAGTAGAGCCGCTGCTTCTCCACATCGAGAGGAGCCAGTTGAGGTGGCTCGAGCTTCTGGTTAGGATGCCTTCTGGACGCCTCCCTGGTGAGGTGTTCTGGACACGTCCCACTGGGAGGAGACTCAGAGGTAGACCCAGGACACGCTGGAGGGACTATGTCCCACCACGCTCCCTGAGGTCAGCGGACCAGTTGCTCCTCACAGTTCCAGGAACTCGTCTTAAGCTCAGAGGTGACAGGGCCTTCTCTGTAGCAGGACCAAGACTTTGGAATGAGTTACCTCTGCTTGTCAGACAGGCCCCTCCCTCTCGGTTTTCAAGTCCCGTTTAAAAACCCACTACTATTCAGTAGCTTTCAACACCAGATGATCTGTGTTTTGATCCTGTATGCTCCACACTGGTTAGTCGTCATTATCTGCATCGTTTTTATGTCTATATTCTGATTTACCTCATTTTGTATTTTGCTTTGTGTGTTACCTGTTGTTCTGTCTGAACAGCACTTTGGTTGCCCTTGTAGCTGTTTTAAGTGCTCTATAAATAAAGTGGTATGGTATCGTATGGTATGTTTCTCGGCTGGCCTGGGAACGCCTCGGGATTCTCCCGGAGGAGCTGGACCAAGTGGCTGGGGAGAGGGAAGTCTGGGCCTCCCTACTTAAGCTGCTATTCCGGCGATCCGATCCCGGATAAGCAGAAGAATATGGGTGGATGGATTCCAGGAAACAGGAGCGGAGTAGGAGAAGGTCCTTTTGTCTAGTTCAGTCCTCACTGAGGGAACACTGCAGGTAATAATGTCCTAAGAGCGCACGCTGTAGCTGCACTCACACAGAGACATGTAGGAGGAGATGTATGAAGGCAGCAGACCAGGAAGTGATTTAAAGATGAAGATGTACCAGTGAGAGAGTCTGTGTGAAGTTAATGGTGACCAGTTAACCAGTGAATACTGGGTGCAGTGGTGGGTACGATAATCACAGCCAGTTATGAATCTTAGTGCACCATGATAGACAGCATCCAACATCTGCAGCATCCAACATCTGCAGCATCCAACATCTGCAGCATCCAACATCTGCAGGGTTCTTGTAGGAGCGTTCATGTAAATAATGTCACCATAATCAATTGAGGGAAGGAAAGTCACAGATACAAGGTGTTTCCTAACATTCAGAGTTAGACAGGATCTGTTTCTGAAAAAGAAACCCAGTTTAACTTCCAGTTTCTTTACCAAGTTTTCCACTTGAAGCTTAAAAGAAAGATGTGAGTCGACCAAGATACTCAAATATTTATAGGAATCAACAAACTCAATGGGGACACCATTTGAGGATAAAATCAGAGGAAGAACTGCTGGGACCAACTTCCTGTTTGAAAAAAACATCCCTTTGGTTTTGTCGGCATTTAGGACAAGTTTGAGGTGGAACAAATCTATCTGGATGTAGTTGAATGCAGATTTCAAAAGCTGGAAAGCCTTAGCAACAGTTTTAACTTGACAATAAACAACTGTGTCATCAGCATAGAAATGTATGGATGCATTAGGGATGCTCTGACCTACATTACCTATGTAGATTGTAAAGAGGGTGGGTCCTAAGACTGAGCCTTGTGGTACATCATTGTTCACTGTTAAATAACTGGAGGAAGTACCATTATGTTGAACACATTGCCTCCGGTCTGAGAGATAGAGAACCAACCAATGGTGTGTTCTGAGAAACCAGTTTTTTTGAGCTTATGACACAAGCTGTTCTGATCCACAGTGTCAAAATCTTTAGACAGGTCTATGAAAAGTGCAGCACAATAATCCTTAGCATCCAGTGCTTCAATAACATCATTAAGAACCTTCAGTGAAGCAGTGGTTGTGCTGTGTTGATTCCTGAAACCAGGAAATGAGGAGAAGTCAGTCCAATAGAAAACCATCGTGAAACCACATAGTGATTCTGGTCAGAACTGAACAGACCACAGATGTCCAGATGGAAAGGCCGGTTGGAATCCGGAGAAAAACGCTGGACCTTCGGACAATGTCTCCCACTGTCGAGAGGCTACTTGCCCGGCAGGATGCACTTGGAATGACCGATGGGCTGGAAGCGGTCCAGGTCCTGGACCGAAAACTTCCCGGACGGTTCCGTTTGTCTCTCTGAGTCCATTGAACACCAAAGACGATTGGAAGAGGGACCAAACTTTTAGTTTGGTTCAAAAACGGGTCAGTTTGATGTTATAAGAACTGGTGAGCTGCTGAGAGATGTGCTGTAGGAGTGACAGATAGCTTCAAGGTGAAGGTGGGAGTGCATCAAGGATCAGCTCTGAGCCCCTTCTTGTTTGCTCTGGTGATGGACCGACTAACAGATGAGGTCAGGCAGGAATCCCCATTGACCATGTTTGCAGATGACATTGTGATCTGTGGTGAGAACAGGGAACAGGTGGAAGAGAACTTGGAGAGGTGGAAGTATGCACTTGAAAGAAGAGGAATGAAAGTCCAAGTGAATAGTTTATCAAATAAACATTTCCCTTAAAATGGTCAGATATGTACAGGACTGAAAATAATAATAATAAAGTCTTTAAAACAACCACAGCTGCAACAAAGTGCTGTACACAAAAAACCAAGAACATTTAAACACATAAAAACAGTTGTTAAAACATTAAGATCAATAAAAACCATAGTGCAGGGTAAATTTCAGGCTGCGCCAAAAGCCAGAGAGTAAAAATGTGTTTTTAAAGATTTTTAAAAATGGACAGTTAATGGGCTCATCTGCTGGGAAGAGGAAATCCTTCCACAATCTTGGAGCAGCTAGAGAAAAAGCTCTGTCGCTTCTGAGTGTAAAAGCTGCCGAAGTTCAAAGAAAAGATATTCATAAAGTCTGAAAAACTACTGAGTAGGAACATCGTGATGCATGCGCAATAATCCAGGTAGAAACATCTAACAAAGTCCTCTGGACGGATTCTTCTCTTGAGTAGGAACTTAAAATACTTCTAGGAGAGTCGGTAATTGGAAGCTTCATTTAGCACATTGTTGTTTATAAGCAGATTTGTACTTTGTAGTTTCTTTGTGTGCATTTTTAAATGGCCATGTTGCTATTTTAGATCCATAATAAAGAAATCGACGGCTCTGGAGTACAAACTGCACCGGTTCATTGTAAACAAAGAGGACTTCATCTCCTACATTCAGGTAAAGCAGGGCAGTCTTCACGTGATGAGGTTTGAGCTCAGTAATTGACAGGACAAGTTAAGACAGTTTTCAGATGATGATCAAAGAGCTAATTATTTGATTTGTTCTTTTCTCTTGCAGTATGAAATCAACATTTTAGAGCTGATCAAGAAGAGACGAGCGGTATGTCGTTTTTAATAAAGGATTAAACTTTGAAACACTTCATACTCCTCACTGACCGTAAGTTTGATTTTTTATGCCTGACTGAGACTTGGCAACAACCGAATGATTTCTCTCAGCTCAATGATTCTACTCCACCGGGGTTTGTTTACATCTGTCAACCCCGTGGCACCGGCCGGGGAGGAGGTCTCGCGATAATTCACCGTGAGAAATGGAAAGTCTCGCCGTTGTCTGCTCCCACCTTCTCCTCTTTTGAATCAGCTGTGTGTCAGCTCTATGGACCTACCCCCACCATCATTGCAACCATCTACCGCCCGCCGAAAACTAACAGTGACTTTCTGGATGACTTCGCTGCTCTTCTCACTCACCTGTCAATTCTCTCACCAAACATTATAGTATTGGGTGATTTTAATATTCACATGGACGATGGAAATAACCCACTGACTAAAGACTTTTCATCCTGCTTCCAGAGTTTTGGTCTTCAGCAGTTTATCAATGTTCCCACTCATTCTAAGGGTCATGTCCTGGATCTAGTCTGCTGTTCTGGTGTATCTCCCTCGGATTATACAGCAGATGAACTCGCCATAACTGACCATTTTCTCCTCTCATTCAATATCTGTCTCCCTCTCTCTATCACCAAGCTTCCTCATCTCATCTCTTTCCTTAACATTAAGGATATTGATTTAAATTCTCTCTCCTCCGCCGTCAATTCTCTCATGGACAATCTATACTCAACTCTAGACTCAACCATCCTTGATGACTTGGTCTCATACTACAATACTGGTCTTCACTCAATACTCAACTCTCTTGCTCCGCTAAAAACCAGATCTGTTTCTTTTGTTCGCTCTGCGCCCTGGTTTATTACAGAACTTCGGCTCATGAAGGCTAAAGGACGGCAACTTGAAAGGCTCCACCGGAAAACTGGACTGGTTGTACATAAAGACATTTACAAAACTCACATATTGCATTACAAAGACTGTATCAATCAAGCCAAATCCTCCTACTACACTTGTTTAATTGGTTCAAATGAAGGCTCCACCAAGTCAATATTCTCCCTCTACAAGAACATCACCCAAACCCCGGACTCCCTACCTTCACATCTGTGTTCAACTGAATTTTGTAACTCCCTCATGTCATTTTTTGACAGTAAAATTGTTAAGATCCATCAGTATCTCAGCTCACAACCGACCCCTTGTCCTACTCGTGAACTTTCTCCTCCAGCCCACTCCTTCTCTTCCTTCGAACTCCCGACAACTTCAGAAATCATAAGCCTCATCAACAAGTCCAAGTTGTCCACCTGTTTGCTTGACCCTCTTCCAACAGTTCTGGTTAAAGCCTGTGCCCCATCTATACTCCCTCTCATTTCTGCCATTATTCACTCCTCTCTCTCCACCGGAACAGTTCCTGCATCATTTAAAATTGCTGCCATAACCCCTATCCTGAAAAAACCTGGCGCTGATTACCGTAATCACAATAATTTCCGTCCTATCTCCAACTTGCCTTTCATCTCCAAGATTCTTGAAAAGACAGTTGCATCTCAACTCCATACTTACTTATCCAACAATAACCTGTATGAACTGTTTCAGTCTGGTTTTCGTCCCCTCCATAGTACAGAAACAGCTCTTATAAAAATCACCAATGACCTCCTCTTGGCAGCTGACTCCGGCTTGCTGTCCATCCTCATCCTCCTCGACCTGAGTGCAGCGTTTGACACCATTTGCCATGCCACCCTACTCAATAGACTTTCCTCTATCGGTATCACTCAGACTCCTCTAAACTGGTTTAAATCATATCTCTCCGGCCGCACTCAGTTCATCCGGATCAAAACCTTCACTTCCGAGCCTTCATCTGTCACATCAGGAGTTCCCCAGGGCTCTGTCCTGGGACCCCTCCTCTTCATTATTTATCTTCTTCCCCTCGGCACTATTTTCCACAAGCACAATATCGATTTCCACTGTTATGCGGATGACACCCAGCTCTATGTTTCCAGTAAGCCCGCCTCCAACCTCCCGCCATCCTCGCTTACCGACTGCTTGACTGAAATAAAATCCTGGTTCACCTCAAATTTTCTTAAACTTAACAGTGACAAAACAGAGGTTCTTCTCATTGGTACAAAATCCACCCTGGCTAAAACCAAAAATTTCAGTATTGACATTGATAACCGTTCCATTTCTCCCTCCCCTCAGGTAAAGAGTCTAGGTGTCATCCTCGACAGCACTCTTTCTTTCCAGTCTCATATCAACAACACCATCCGTTCGGCTTATTTTCACCTACGCAACATCAACCGCCTCCGCCCCTCCCTTACTCCCCATTCCACTGCCATCCTTGTTCACTGTCTGGTTACATTGCGCCTGGACTATTGCAACTCCCTTCTGTTCGGTCTCACCCACAAATCTCTTCATAAGCTCCAACTGGTCCAGAACTCAGCTGCCCGCATCATCACCAAAACCCCATCCATTCATCACATCACTCCAGTCCTGCAAAAACTCCACTGGCTGCCAACCAAGTTCCGCATAGATTACAAAATTCTCCTGTTCACTTTCAAGGCCCTTTACAATCTCTCCCCACCATATCTTTCAAATCTTATTCATATTGCCATTCCCTCTCGCTCCCTCAGATCATCCTCCTCCATCCTTTTGACTGTCCCCTCCGCCCGTCTCACCACCATGGGGAGCAGAGCCTTCAGTCGCTCTGCTCCCCGACTTTGGAACTCGTTACCACCTCACATTAGAAACATAAAGTCAATCTCACAATACAAATCAGAACTCAAAACACACCTTTTTAGATCTGCTTTTTCCACCTGACACAATTGGTTTTGCCTGATTTTATATTGATTTTATACATTGTCTTTTTTCTTCCTTTCTTTTTCTTTTCTTTTCTTTTCATCTCTTAGTTTCTGTTACTGCTGATTTTATTATTTGTACGGTGTCCTTGAGTGCCAGAAAGGCGCCTTTGAAATAAAATGTATTATTATTATTATACGTTCTTATGAGATATGTTTAGTGAAACAGGCATATAAGACAGCAGGTAATTTAAATATTCTGCTTTTTTTGCATTTTCAGCACATCCATTACCAGTTTAAACGAGAGGAGATTGAATACCCCATCATCCACAGAATAAGTAGTATTTTCAGAAGAGCAACAAAGAAGTGGAAGGTACTGTATAAATAAATATATTGTATAAAATTAAAACTGTGGACTTATTCTCTCACTTTGCAGCTGCTCAGTTCTTCCTTGAATTGAAGCACTTTTCAGGTGCTCTCACGTAAAGTAACCATTTCTAAAAAGGCAGCTCCATACCATACCATTTTATTTATAGAGCACTTAAAACAGCTACAAGGCCAACCAAGGTGCTGTACAGACAGAACAACAGACAACACATGAATCAATATACAAAATGAAGTAAATCAAAAATATAGCTCATCATGAGAAGTGGTAGGGGGAGATTTTATCTGTTAGTTTACAGGGGAAATATTTCCCAGCAGCCGGAGCGCGTCATTAATGGCTGGTTTCCTCTGGGCTGCAACTACTGACGACTTGCTGTTGAAAAGCATTCAAGAGGGAGTCTCCAGAGTGTTTCAAGACGTCCTCACTTTCCTCGCTTGAGTTGCAGAGGTCAGAGTGTTGTTGCTTGAATTTTGAGCACGTTCAAAACTTTTTAGTGCCAGTGATAAATATTAGGAAGCTAGTTCAGATCTGCCTGTCTTCATTTCAAAGTGTTCTCCAACAGATCAAATTGTAAATGTGGGAGCAGCGGCTGAGGCAAGTGTGATGTGGGTAGAAGTCGGCAACAAAATATTGCAGTTTTACAAAATGTGCACAAAAAACCCAAGTTGTGATTTATGATAAGTGGTCTTGCTAAGTGTGGAAACAAGTTGTGAACACTTAACATTAATTGAGACTATAACAAAAAAACTTAAAAAAAAAAAAAATTAGTTTCCAGTAGTCACAGAGTAGTGAGACACTCCTTTAAGATGTTCCCTGAGTCACACCACTGTTTAGCTATCACCAGATTTAATGAGCTAGTTTGTGCTGAATTTAGCAGAACAGTCATATCTTATGAGATTGAAGAGTAGAGGACTGAGTACACATCCATGGGGGACTCCTGAGCTCAGTATGATGAAGTGTGTTGGTTTACTACCAACACAGCTTCGTCTTCATGAGGTTTCCAGTTCGTGCAAAGAAAGCTTCACAGAAGTGGTGTACAGTCACAAAACAAGAAAATGTAAATATTCATGTTTTTTGTCAACAGGATGATGTGCAGCTCTGGCTCTCACATGTTGTCTTCTGCAAGAAATGGGTATGTAGAGATCTGACACAAAACAGGAAGTGCTTTGTTTATTTTGTCGCTGATGATCTGCTGGGCTTCACTCACCAGGCAACCAAAAGTCAGATCAGCAAGGTGTTCTCATCTATGCTGGCTATCCACCCCGACAAACCAGGTAGAGAAGATTCGAAGCAAAACGCCCACTGATGTCTTCTGTTATCGTTCCTTAGCTTTTTTTTCTTTCCAGCTCTGTGGATCATGGCTGCCAAGAGTGAGATGGAGGATCGAGATTCATCTGAGAGCGCCAGACACCTGTTTCTGCGAGCGCTTCGTTTTCACCCGAACAATAAGAAAGTCTACCAGGAGGTGAAGCCTGAAATACAGCCGAAGTGCCGACAAATCACAACTTAAACTAGAGAAATTACACTTTTAAAGAGAATTCAGTGTTGCTGAGTGCTGGATGACTCAGTTGAAAATTGTTAAAGAAGCTGAAACTGGTTGTTAAAGCTAAAAACTGTAAAAGAACGACAATGCAAAAAAAAAAAAAAAATCAACAACAACTTCCTAGCTTAATGTATCAAAACATTCACTAAAAGCAAAATGCTGCAAAAACCTGCTGAAAATAGAAAAGTACTAGCTAAAAACAAAACGACAACAAAAATAAACCCAAATAAGCCATAAAGCACAAAATACTAGCTACAATCCAAGCGCACCAAATACTAGCTAAAATAGCAAACTTCTAATTAAAAGTAGCAAAACACAAGCTAAAAGCTAATAGTAGCAAAACACTAGCAAGAAGGAAACCGTTACAAAACATTACCCTGTACTTACAGGCTAGAAGTTGCACAATGCTAGGTAAATGTATAAAATGTTAGCTAAAAGTTGAAAGTAGCATAACACTATTTATTTGATAAAAGTAGCAAAACAGTTCAATTCATTTCAGTTTTTTCAATTCAGTTTATTTCTAAAGCTCCAAGTCACAACAGAAGTCGTCTCAGGGACTGAACAGAAACATTCAAATATAAAATAATAACTGAACATTATTTATCTGAGGAGCAGCTTTGAGTTTAACTCTCATCTTGAACAAGCATGAAGGCGACAGTGGAAATAAAAACTCTCTCATGAGGAAGAAACCTTTAGTAGAACCAGGATCAGGACAAGAGGACCATCTGCTTCAACTGGCTGGGTTTGGTAAGAACAGATACACAATGGCAGGTCAAGAATCACATGTTAAGATAGAAATAGTATCAATTTTAACTATTCATTTAAGGAAATTAGGTCAATTTGTCCTTAAGTCTATAGCAGCATAACAAGCCAACCCTAACTATAGGATTTATCAAAAAGGAAAGTCTTAATCCCAGTTTAAAAACTGGACCATGTGTCAGCCTCATGGACAGAAACTGGAAGTTGGTTCCACAAGAGAGGAGCCTGAGAACTGGAAGATCTTCCTCCCATTCTGCTGCTGGAAACTCTAGGAACCACAAGTAAACCTGCAGTCTGAGAGAGAAGTGCTCTGTTAGGAAAATATGGAACAATAAGATCTGTAATATAAGATGGAGCTAGGTTGTTGAGGGCTTTGTAGGTTAGAAGTAAGATTTTGAATTCAGTTCTGGATTTGACAGGGAGCCAATGGAGAGAAGCTAAAACTGGAGAGAGATGATCTCTCCCAGTAACTCCAGTTAAGACTCTGGCAGCAGCATTTTGGATCAACTGAAGACGTTTTAAAGAAGTATTTGGACACCCAGATAATAAACCATTGCAATAGTCCAGTCTAGACGTGACAAATGCATGGAGCAGTTTTTCTGCATCATCTTTAGATCAGATGTTTCTAATGTTAGTGATATTACGCAGGTGGAAGAAGGAGGTTCTAGTAACGTTTTTAATGTGGGGGATAAAAGACATGTCCTGATCAAAAATAACACCAAGATTTTTAACATTAGAGCTGGAGGACAGATTAATGCATCTAAGGAGGGAGAAAGACTGAAACATTCATTCCTAAGGTGCTCAGGTCCAAAAACCAAAACCTCAGTCTTGTCTGTTCAACAGGAGAAAATTAAGGGTCATCCAGGTTTTTATGTCTTTAAGACATGCTTGTAGTCTAAGTAGCTGATTGGATTCATTGGGTTTAATGGACAAATATAATTGTGTGTCATCAGCATAACAATGAAAATTGATCCCATGCTGTTTAATAACTTTACCTAATGGAAGCATATATAAAGTAAAGAGTATTGGTCCAAGCACTGAGCCCTGAGGAACTCCATGACTAACTTTGGTGTATGAAGAAGATTCATTATTTACATTTACAAACTGGAATCTATCAGATAGATATGATTTAAACCATTTTAGAGCTGTTCCTGTAATCCCAACATCATATTCAAGCCTCTGTAGTAAAATATTGTGATCAACTGTATCAAATGCAGCACTGAGGTCTAACAGGACCAGTAGAGACACAAGTCCATTGTCTGAGGCCATGAGAATATCATTAGTGACTTTTACTAGTGCTGTTTCTGTGCTATGATGAGCTCTAAACCCTGACTGAAACTCTTAAAACAGATTGTTTCTTTGCAGATGATCATGTAACTGACCTGCAACTATTTTCTCTAGAATTCTTCAGATGAAAGTTAGATTAGATATAGGTCTATAGTTGGCCAGGATTCCTGAGTCAAGATTATGTTTCTTAAGTAAAGGTTTAATTACAGTAAACGTAAAGCTCTGGTACATAACCGTTTATTAGAGACAAATTAAGCAGATCCAAGATGTGATTATTAATTAGGGGAAAAACCTCTTTAACCATTCTGGTTGATATGGGATCTAGCAGACATGTGGATGATTTGGATGAAGATATTATTTTTGACAATTCAGAGCTCAACAGGACAAAAACTGTCCAAACATAAATCAGGTTGTAGTGACATTTTTAAAGTTGCCTCATCTGACACAGATCCAGAGACGAGACTAGCAGAAAAGCTAGCTAAAAGCCCAACGGAGTAAAATGCTCGCTAAAGTTGGAAGAACCTAGCTGAAAATAGAAAAATACTACCTAAACACCAAAAAAGCAAAACCTAGGTAAATGGACTGTACTTCTACGGCTCCTTTCTATCTTATCAAGATACTCAAAGCTCTTTACAACAATCTGTGCCTCATTGACCTTTTCACACAGCTCTATACTAGATCTCTACAAAGACAATTGAACAAATCATTCTAAAGAGACTAATCAGAGCTTTATCACATTTAAACACCAATGGGACACACATCGGAGGCATTGAGGGGTTCAGTGTCTTGCCCAGGGACACTTTGGCATGTGATTGCTGGTGGATTCGAACCCCCAACTCTTGCATTAGGGGACGACTGCTCTAACCACTCAGCCACAGCCGGCCCCCAAGGTAGAAGCCAAGAGTACCAAATACTAGCTAACATGAGCAAAATGCTAACTAAAAGTAAAAAATAAACTTAAATAAATAAATAAGCTAAAAGTAACTAAATTTTATTAAAGGCTAAAAATGATAAAATGCTAGCTAAAAGCTAAAAGTAACAAAGGCTACCCAAAAATCAGAAGTAGCACAATGAAAGCTAAACATGAATAAACACTAGCTAAAAGTAGCAACAAAAAAAGACAAAACTAGTGTAAGATTTGTGAAACAGATTTTAAATAAAACAATTGTAAAGGGAGTGCATTTCCATCAGGGAAATGCGTCATTAAAGGTAACTATTTAGAAAAGTAACCTCATTATCTCTTGGATGAGCCCAGCAGAGAGTTGTGCATGAGTTGGATTGTATGAAACAAGACAAGTGAGCGAGCGTTCACACATGGATAAAAAGAAACACCACTCAAAGTGTGTCCAACATGAATTCTCTGCGTCTGCTTCAGTACTTCCGTTTGGAGCTGCTGCATTGTGAGAAGCTGAGGAAGCAGAAGGAGGATCTGGAGAAAGCTGAGCTGGACTTGGTGAGTTCTAAAACTCAAATGGGTGGGGTGTACACATGAAGACACCGCTACTCTGTTGGTCTCAGAACTTCTTGTTGGCACTTTCCAGGGAGAATACAAGTTTTCTCCAGAGATCCTGAGTGGACAACTGGCCAAAATCGTGTATATAAATGCTACAGGAAAGATCAAGGGTAAGTTTAAAATATCTCATTAAGCACAGAAGGACTTTCATGGATCTTTTGGAAAGTGCTCACTTGGTATACAGCTGCAGTCTCCTCCAAAAGTTTTGGAACAGCAAGACAGATTCCTTTGTTTTTGTTGTACACTGAGGACATCTGGGTTTAAGGTCCAAAGATGAGCATGAGACAAGAGTTCAGAAATCATCTTTGATTTCCTGATATTTAAATGTCCAAACCACTGTCCCTCCTCTGGACATGTCCAAACCACTGTCAC